CTATTAAGTTTCATATCTATCTTAATAGAAGATTATTTTCTTTATCTATGATTTATGTTGATCTTCGCATTGCGTCTATTGGGCCCACTATCTCATTCTAATATAACAAGAGAGAAAGAAGCGAAAAGAATATAAAACGTAATTTCTAAATAGAAATTAGAACAATCGCCTTTCGTTTTCGTCATCATGACAACCAAGAACCAAGATGACAACATCATGACAATTCGTCATGTTTGTTAATTTTTCTTTTGGTGATTACCTTTTTTTCTAAACTCTCCATTTTATTGACTTATGAATATGGATAGGGAACAAATTCCTTTGTTCCATATAGGTATTTATATTTTGTTACTTATAATTTTAGGTTATACTATTTGTTATTTTATTTGCTGCAGGAGCCAGTATCATCTATTTTCTATATGTATTGGTGCCCCCTTTCTCTGATAGATATGTTAAAGACACCCGGTAAAATAAAAGTAAGTATGTAGTTATATATTTATCATCTTATTAAGAAAAAAGGAGAAGTATAGTAGTGTCAAAAATATTTCGAACCTCTCTTAACATAAGAAATTAATACAATTATTTTTTTTCATTTTTTGGGTAGGTAGTTTATAGCTGGTTTATAGTAACCAGAAACTTTATTAATATACCTAATTTACTTTTGTTTTAGGATTAAAACTGGACTTGAAAATGGTTCAGGATCATGATTCTCGTAAAGTCTTCTTTGCTTGGATATTCACTTTGTTATTGCAATTAGGCAATTTTTTCAAAAATGAGATTTTTAATGCCCTTTAAAACAATTGGCCGATCGTTTCCTGCAACAGTCAGTTCTTCTGCAGTTAAAATTGGTAGGTGGGTGGAATAAACACTGTTATTTTTTGTCATTATATTATAAAAAGTTTATTTATTTTTATGTATAAATAAATATGTTTATAAAACAGTACAATTTTTGCTTTTTTTATAATTTCCCTTATAATAATAGTATTCTTTCGTTCTGAAAGAAGCTGCAAATTTTCACTTAAACTGATTTATTCCCCCAGTTTAAGTGAAAATTTTCAGATTCAGAATGAAAGAATACTACTAATAATGGCTAATTTAAATTTTCCGCCAGGCAGAATGTGCGGTTATGTCTTACGATACGTTTTATACCTATCTCTTTCTTTTTCATATAAAGCACACATAATAAAGAAAGATAGCAATAAAGACGTACGTCCTGCCATGGTCCTGCTAATTGGTTTCAAAATTGTTATTCTGAGTTGCGCTACGGGAACGCGGTCCCACTCTTTTCCATGAGATTTGTCAGTCTCTTTTTATTTGTTTGTCTATGTGTAAAACTAAGTCAGTTTATTTTATTTTTTCCATAGCAACTGTTATAATTGCCTTATATCTATCAAAAAAAAATAGTAGATAAAATAGTACTTTAACCGCAAGGGTAGATTAAATCATTAAATGATAGTTTAACAGCGAGGATAGGTTAAAAACTTTATTTCTTCTCGCACGTTTTTTAATTGCTTCCATTTTTGAAAATTTTTCTATTCCTTTTCATAAGTTATTCTGGATTTAAATGGAAGTAGTTTGGATATATGGCGTTTGTCGCCTCAGCCTGAATATCTGTTGGTAATTTACTTATTTCGTTTTGAGCCATTTCTGGCTCCAATTCAATGAGCAATCGACACGAAAGAGAATTAAAAGATAGTGACTCAAAACGGACAACTAAAGAGACAGCTTTATTTATTTGTGAAATTGCATAGAAACCAACGCCAACCCAGCACAATATTTTTTCTACTCGTAATCAATTCCTTGAAATAATAATTTCTGAAAATTTTTTAAAGCGTAACTCGTTATGGAAAAAAATATTGTTTTATACACGACGATAAAATTGCATTTTAATTAATTATTAATCTTTTCGGTCGACCATAAAATACCATATTATCGTCTTGTATAAAAAATAACTAATATTTATGTAAAATAATATGTGGAACTGCCGAACTTTCAACACCGGAAAAAAAACTCACTAAATTTCGTAAATTTTTGATTTTCCGCAATTTAACATGAACCAAGCCGACACGACGCGGGTTTTTTAACCTCATTTCATTTCCTCCATCAATGAACCATGGCCCGATTCATTTGAACCGATTTGATAGCATTTTTTTCACTTTTTTTCGAAAGGCAATCGGATTTTTAGTCGAGTTTGTGGTTCCTTTGAAGTACTAGCGCTGGTGAATTAGATTTTTTGGAATGGTTCAGCTTGATTTGGTGTCCACTGATATCACAAATTGTAAAAAAAAATTCTAGGACCCGGGAGAATTTTTAGAATGATGAAAAGAGTTGTGTAATAGTTCTGGTTATTTTGGAAAAGTTTTGGATGAAAAAATAAGTTGTTGTAATGATTATTACTAGGAAAATAAGAAGCTATTGAATATCAATATTTTGCTTCATTTTAAAAAGTTCTTTAAAAAGGTTCAAATACATTTTTGAGTAAATTAAGATGGGGAAAACTTAATCATTGTTTTTAAAATTTATTCTCTATTCAGGTTGGCGATGCAACAGACTGTAGATACCAGTGGCGGCTCGTGGTTATGTTTGTAGGGAGGTCAATATCTAAAAATATTGCGTCGATTTTTTTTAATAACTTGTACGTTAACTTAAAGGAAAATAAATCTAAAAATAAATACAAATTATGTTGAAATGAAATATTAAAAATTTAAATATTGATTTATATTGACTAAACCAGTAAAAAGTTTTTCCAGCGATATCACTGTAATCCTGTAATATACATATTTATATAGAAATAATGCACTCGATATTTCTTAATCAACTATATTGATTCTCAACTAATAAAAAAATATAACAAATTACATTAATAATACGCTAGTTTCTAGACAAAGACAAAAACCGCCACTTTTTATATCGTCTGTCAGTAAACTACCAAATACAAGTGTATATAAAGTTGCCTACTTTACAATTACTTTTATGAATGACGCGGTCAATGGCCAATATAAACTATATCTATCGCACCTTAACCCATTATATTTTCTATACGTAGTATATTACCTTACCTTGTTGGCGTCACGCGCCGCGGAACTTGGAGTTTAATACCTGTAAAACATAGCGGGAACGAAGGACAAAATGAACTTTTGACCGGCATTAGAGAAAATGGGTAAAATAAAATGTTTTCAACACAAGTTGGGAATAGTTTTGAATATTTTACTGGTTTTGAATACGCCACTGGTAGATACACACAATTCTCTGCATTAAACATCCCTACAATAAGCCCAGAAAGGAAACACCAAATCACCGGTATAAAACGATTAGTTCCCTGTGACAGATTTGCGCCAACAATCTAAGTCAAAGTTTATCCACAAAGGTAAACATACATCCCTCCATTGTTGTATCGGGGTGGCCTAGGGTACCCCGCGGAGCAGTCGGCTCTGGCGACAAACGCCATACACCTGGGGGTGGTACCTTTATATACCTTTATGGAGCAGTACCGCAAAGAGTACCGCCGTTAACAAGGTCTCTTGTACTGCAGAAAAGAAAATCAAAAAGGCGTTTGACCAAAACTGACCGACAGTCTTTTATCGAAGATTTTCTTTCATAAAGAAGTCGTTTTTTTTTCTCTTTTTTTTGTGCTTTTGGTGAATGGGAGTTTGAGAAATAAAATTAGATTTATGTGTGAATAGTACCAAGATTATAGCAAAACGGAATTCTAAAAAAAATGAATTAATGTAAGATTTTAAAATACTGGATTAGATGAGGCTACCTGTCAACAGGGAGCACAAAAATCAGATACAGAAAGGTGAAACAATGAAACCAGGTATTGCGGAACATGTAATTGCCCTTTAGGTCCCTTAAATGCTGTTAAGGAGGTGAGTTTTGTTAATGTAAATATTAACTGTTTATATATTTATAATTATTTTTTTTTCCTAAAACATTTTCATTAAAAGAAAATATGTAAAAGTGGGCAAGGCTGTGCCGGTCAAGCTTAATCACGTGACTAAAAGTTTATTTGGTTAGGTTAGGTTAACAAAGTTATTTGCAAAATTGGATCTTTAAAAACAGTAACTTGTACAGCGGTATATAAACATTGGCTATCACTTGGATAATATTCTATCTATTCCTTTTAATTTCTATAGCCGTAACAAATAATCTCACGATGATTTGCCAGATCGTGTGGGTGGGGTTTCTGTGAAACCCCGGGGACTGAAAAGAGGGCTCTAATGGACTCCATCGGTAACACGTGTCGCTGTTCCCAAGGGGGCGATCTTGGTAATCTCGGTCTCATCCTTTCATCAAGGCTTTTTCTTGCTATTTATCTGTTCAATGGTGATGCGATAAAAAATTGTTTAGGATTGGTATAAAAAAATGTTTTTTTGACGAAAAATATAGGAATTTTGGGAATGTTTTTAGCTCAGAATGTGTATTACTAATATTACTATATTATGTGTCCCCTTTCTTGAGTCATCAAACAATCTCAGGGCTTTGACGAAACACAGTATCTGAGACGGTTTTACAGAGGTTTGGTTTGCTAGTCGTCTCGGCGCACTCATAATGATGAGGTTCCTGTGTTTCCCCATTTTCGAGATACAAATTAGGAAAGCAGGTCAAAAAATGCATTATTTTCAAATTCGCCCTGTATTTCAGGAACTAAGAGGGCTAGGAGAAATCTGTGTGTAGCATCTTTAGTTCCATAAAAAGTATCACAGTGATGTGAAAACCACATCTTTGTATCTCACAGACCAGAAATCCTATAACTCACGAAAATGGGACACCCTGTATTGTTTTATCTAAAAAACAATTTCCCGTTAAAAAAACAATACTCATCTTCTGGGAAACCCCTTTTTAACGTGGCTTTAACAGGTAGTACTTTATAAAAATCCAATTATATGCAGGGGGAATATTCAGAAGTTGATAAATATTATTAATGGGCAATTAAAAAAGCAGCGATAACTATTAGCCTGTTTTTTTTTCCTATTGTTTATGTTAATTTGCGGTAGCTAAAATAGGTTTATCAGTTGCAATGTATTTTAAACACTTACTTATAGCTTCAGACTTTTTTAAAAACATTTAGTTGAAAATACTGTTAGAATAATGTTGTTTAAGCTTCTTTTTGTTGTTTTTTGTGCTTTGATTTATAGTTCTATGCAGCAGAACACTCCGCATGGATCCTTTAGTAAATCAGGTAAAAATATTTAATAATATTCACATCACTAAATAAAATGATAATTGGTATAAAAAAGTACAGTATTTCCCTGGAATGTCGTTACAAGAGGAAAAACTTTTTTATTATTGACATTTTCGAAAAAATGCTCTCCACAATAATTTTTGCTTCTCTAAAAATCAAATCGCGTTTCTGTTGTAATATACTTTCGTTTTCATTTTTTGATAGATTGATATTGATAGAATTTTAATTAACATCATATTTTTTTGCTGTTTTGAAGCACAAAATTTATTTAGTTTAATGCTACGGAAAGGGTGATAATAGTATCGGAAAATGTGATACTTTAACAACAACAAAAAATATGACGTTTAAAATTAGCAATAACCATCTGTCAAAGAATTAAATGTAAATTATATTACCAAAGAAACGCTTTTTGATTTTTAGAAAAATTCAACCATATATAACAAAAATAAACGGGATTAACCATTTTAAGATTTAAAGAACTTTAAAGTGACTTATGTCTTTGCTTATGTTCAATATTGATTTTCTATCACCGTCTAACTTTTCGTGACAAGTTTTAATTTGGTTTAACGTACAATGGTCACTTTAACTCCATACCAGGCGATAAACAGGCTAAATCCAATTTAGGTAGCTTTTATTGGGATTTAAAATGTATTTTTTACTTTTAGGAAATGGTAAATTTTGGCAAAAACCTTACTTTTTAGTCATATACTTCTGTAATGAAACTCACGTATATTTTTTTGCTAAAATCCGAAAGTCAATTAATATATAGGGTGTCCCATAAAAACTGTCGTTCTCCTGCATCAAAAAAAATGAAATAAATATATTTTTTCACATTTTAGACTGTGATTTACCTCACACTGAACCAGGTCCACAATGCAAGGCTCGTATACCCAGGTTTTGGTGGAACAACACCTCAAAGGCCTGTCAAGGTGTTATCTATGGTGGTTGTAGAGCTACGAAAAACAATTTTGAGACTCTAGAACAGTGCATTGCTATAGCTGGATTGACATGTACGTCATAAATTCTGCGCATAATGTATTATGTTTCATAAAAATGTGTATTGTTATATTTTGTTTAATATATGATAATATTTTTTTGTGATTTCTTTAATAATAATGCTTAAATGACTTAATTTACGTTCTGTATACAGGGTGAGTTTCCTACGATGTTCTCTATAATGGGTATCTCGGAAACTACTGGAGATAGAGAGTCGGTTAAATGGGTAAAGAATTGCAGTTGCCTTTCAGATTTTTGAAAAAGTTCGTGGCTTACTAGATAGTATTTAAAAAAACAAATTCTAGCTATTTTAAAAATTGTCCCTAATTCCATTATAATTTATTTTAGACAAAAAGCTTTCAGATAAAAGTTGTAGAGAATCACGTCCCTAATAAGTTTGTGTTCTCCGATTTTTTTAAAGCCTGTCATTTTTGAGATATGACACTAACATATTTTTTTTTTTAAATGGAAACCATAGTTGGCCATGACTTCATAAAAAGCGCCATTTTTTAAGCTTTTCAGCGATATGAGCTATAATATTTTTTTTTCACAAAATTACTGAGTTAGATATAGCCAATTCTTATCTTTCTTGACTAATTTCACTTAGTTGGCATGGTGTTCTTATTCTGTTATGATTTAACTTATGAAGTACTTGGAAAAAAATTATAATAAATCGAAAAATTAGACTCTATCACCCTGCATCAGCGACGAGCAACAAACCAGAATCGGACCTATGTTGATATGAAAAATAAATCTTATATTTTTACGTGAGGAATCCCCCCACGAGGATGGCACATGTTTTTTTGAAGCACCCTGTACATCTCGGCCATATTTCGCTCCATTTTCCCAACGAACCCGTCGCTTACTAACCGCTAACTACCCTCGGGGGCATCTCCTTGGCCGCAATCCCGTACATCTGCCGTTTTTAAGGTAAAGGGACCCCGCCCAAGCAGCCCCGACAAACAAAAAGCCGCAAATTGGACCTCAGCACCCCTCCCGCCCCTCGCGCGGGGGAACACGGCCACTGCCGAAGGGTAGAAAACGGTCGAAACGAGGGCTGATCATCCATTGGTCCATGGGAACGGGCCAGATGTCGGTACAAAGACGAAATTTGCGGTCGTATAGGTTCGCTTTTTTATTGCACGGTTGGGGAGGTGTATTTTTGTGGTTTATAGGGGTTGAGGAGGAGAAGAAGAGGGGGGTATGCAGGGAGTTTATTGTGTTTTATTTGCTGCCTATATATACAGGATGAGTCCTAAATAAGTGCAAATAATTTGAGCGCTGGTAGATCTCGATAAAAGAAACGTATTTCTCTTTATCGTTTTTCAAATAAATCCAAAATAACCGAGATATTTTATTTTGAAAATTTCCAAAAAAAATGATTTTTTGGTAAAATTTTGAGAACCACTAGATCTTTTCTGGATTTTGTCTTTTAAATTTAATCTACTATGTTGCATCATAGTAGGTATGTTTTATCAACAAATTATATTTTTTAACTAAAAACTAAGAAAATTTCTAATTTTTTTTTCAAAAAATTCCAAATTTTCCAATTTTTTTTCGCGAAAAAAACCTCATAATCATGTTGAAAAAAAATGCCATATGAAATATAAAACTGCGAATATTTGCAAAACCGTTAAAAATTTGAAATACCCTAAATACAAAAATTATTCATTTTTTATTTCCACATCTATTGTAAAAATAATCTACAGGGTTTCCATTAAAAAAAACAAAAAAAAAAATATTTTGGAAAGTTTGGCGTAGAATTTTGAACATCCTGTATGATTTACGATTACCATATTTACATCAAAGTTAAGTAAAGACCATCTAAAGTAAATACCTAATATAGTTTTGATTTCAGGCCAGGTTCTTGTATTTTTAATATTTTTTTAAGAAATGAAATTATCGAAATACATATACTTACTCATATCTAAGAATTATCTGAAGTAATTTGAAAGGTCAAAAATGCATTTTTAATAATATACAGGGCGTTCCATTTAAAAAAAATCATCCCGATCCACTCACACTTTTTTGAGCCACCCTATAGAAGTTAAAATATTTTCCTTAAATACATCCTAGTACATGCTTTACGTTTGCAGTTAAACAAAATTCCCAAGTTTTTTATTCTAGGAGCTACAGATGCCCGACGCACTATTGCCAGACCCTGTATATAAAATTATAAAATTATACTATCAATAACCAAATGTTTTTTTTTAAAAACGAACAGGATCATTAAGTGAATTAAATAAAGACAATCAAGGTAAAAAACAATGGAGTCTGCTTAAATATACGTAAATAAAGCAGGTAAAGACCACTTGCTAATTAGAAAAGGATGAAAAACGCCCGAATTGATCGCTAACGAGTACCATCATCATCGACAAATTCCCTTTTGATAGCTTTTTTATCGATCCAATCAGCTCTCCAACCAGTGGCGTATCATCTCTACCGGATATTTCAATATATTAACCAATGGTAAATCCCCCCTTCCTTTGTTTGATTAATTGCGGTACTTTATAGGCTACATTAGATTTTAGGTCTATAATAATTATGAGTTATTAAAAATGTTGAAATGCATCAGTATAGTACTACTTAATATTTTTTTTACAAATATTTAATTTGTCAGCATTCATGGGACACAGGCACAGAATAGATTTTTAGGCGTTCGGCATTTAACGTTTTTTGTAAAACTGGCTAAGTATTTTTACACAAATGAAGAAGGAAATTAAAGATAAATGAGTATATTATATCCGTATTGTCGCACATTTTTGGTCGACTTTTTTATTTTTAAGATTTTGATGGTCAATCATCGACAAAATATTCCTTAAGTTTGGTCATCAGTGTTTTACAAGTACACGGGACCTACAGTTTATTGCCGAATCCGAACGGCACTATTTGAGAGGCCTTTGAAGGCAAATATACTCAAGGTGGTTTGCCATTGCCTTCCTTGAGGTGGCGGCTCGTTGGTCGCTCTATTTAGATAAATAAATATTTTTATTTAAATAAATAAAGCGACCGTACTGGCTGGGGAACGAACCCAGTAGCTTCTGCTCCGCAGATTGACACACTAACGCTGGAGCTACGGCCGGCCACAAAAAAAAAGTACAGGGGAATAGGCTCTTAAAGCCAACGGGCAGTAAGCGCCTTTGAAAAAATAAGGAAGAGTACGGGCAAAGTAATTGACATCTAGGGCTTGACCTCGCCAAAATTATCGTCGATTGTCATATCCCAGCCGTCTTTGGTGCCGTTTTTTTTTCGATGAATATTAGAGAAAAACGGGGAATTTTTAACCGACCATACCAACAGGTATGGTAGGCTATTAAGATCGGCGAAAAAAAAAGTTTTTTTAATTTTACTCAAAATGAGTTATTTGGGTCATAAATGACCTAAATATAAAATATTTTCATGGTGTCTGTCTGTCTGTCTGTCTGTATGTCCGTCTGTACGTCTGTCTGTAACACGATAACTCAAAAACCGCTAAACCGATTTTAACCAAATTTGGCACAAAAATACTGTGGCACCCGAGAATCTGGCCATTACTTTTTGGGTGGAGGTGGGGGGTTGGTAAGGGTGTATGGGAGGGGGTTAAAATTTTTAAAAAATCGTAACTCCAAAATTACAGTAGCTAGCGAAACACGGTTTTCAATTTAAGATTAGGAATAATATTTGCAACAAAATTTGTAATAACATCAAAATCAAAGTCGCAGTTTTTGAGATAAAAAAAATTTAAAAAAATTCCTTTACTTTGAAACTAAAAGAACTGCCTACCAACTTTTTATTAACATATATTAGTATGGGCGGCTATACGTGCCTCCCGGTGCCAATTTTTTAAGTATTTTTTCTTTAATTTTCGAATTATTAACATTAATAGCTTCGTTCTTAATGGCGTATAAGTCTACACGAGCAAATAATCATTAAGTGCTTTTATGGCTGTTATTTTTCTTACGAGATTACGTATTACGTTCTCCCAGTGTATAGTACCTTGGCGATTTATTTCTCAAATGCCCCAGCCGCCTGCGATCGACTTGGGTGGTCCCCACACATCCACTTTCGGCTCGCAAATTGGCAACGCGGGACCCTTTAGCGCGCGATAGTCGCTTGTTTTTTTTTTCTCTTCTTCTTGTCGTTTTCGTTCTTTTCTTTCTTCTTCTTTTCCTCCTCCTTCTTCGTCGTTGTCGTCTTCTTCTTCTTCTTCTGCCGGTCCCTCGTTTGTTTTTGTTGTTTTGGTTTCGATAGTCGTTGAATTAGAGTTGTTAGCACTACAAATCACTATACAAAGTGTGTCCAAAACAATGACTAAAGAATATAAGGACATGTAACGCCTATATTCGAGCTGCGGCAGAATTTGTGACCTTAGACGCCATCCTTTTGATGGCAACGAATGAGTCATCAGCTGGTCACAAGCGACAATTTTAGCGAGTTTTAATAATTTATGTGTAGTGAACTTTGTATAAACTTTGTTACAATGATGATTAGTTGTTCAGCTTTCAAGTGTAAAAGCAGCAGCGATAAGAAAGAGCCAGGAGTTACGTTTCATAGGTAAATAAACAGTCCGTCCCACCTTTTTAGCGTTTTCTTAGTTTTCTTATTGAATTCGATAATTATTTTTCTGATATTATATGTACTTGGTGTGTGCTATACGTCGATAGTAGTTTTGTACCTTTTGTTAACATTTTAATACGTTTTTTTTTCGTAATTAATTAATATGATACCACCCTCTACACCATAGGCGTAGTCAAAACATTTATCAAAAATATGTGGTTGTTGCCACGGTACTGTTTGGAGCCATGGTAACAATTTGGTCTCGGATATTTAGTTATTCGCGTACAGCATAGACAAACAAATAAAAAGAGACTGGCAAATTAAATGGCAAAGAGAGGGACAACGTTCCCGTAGCGCAACTCAGAACGCAAAATTTCGTTCTATTTATGTTGATCTGCGCATTGCGTCTATTGAGCCCACTATCTCAGTCTAATATAACAAGAGAGAAAGAAGCAAACATATAAAACGTAATTTCTAAATAGAAATTAGAATAATCGCCTTTCGTTTTCGTCATCATGACAACCAAGATGACAACATCATGACAATTCGTCATGAATTCGTCAT